ACAAAATGCTCGCTCACTTATATAGACAAAACCGAGCCCTACCTTCTCAACTCCTCCTGGTTTTGCCTATATAACTGAGCCCTAAGTCCATCTGAGGACTTCTCTACTATCCTACGCTGTCTATCATACATTTTACCCCCTACCTCTGAGATCTTCCCTGCTGCCTTATCCTCAAGAAACTCGAGACAGTCCAAAGCCAGATGCACGTCCCTTTTGCAGTAAAAACATAGCTGATCTACGTTTCTCTTGAACTTCTTCTTCCTGGGCTGAGGAGGTGGCGATGAAGGAGATCCCATCAAGGTACTGACAACCTCCTGTTGCTCTGCTTGAGGAGCTGCGGTACTAGCGACCTCCTGCTGCTCTGTCCCAGGAACCGGTCCACCAGACCCAGATCCAGTAGCCCAAGATCCTAGTCTGCCTCTCAAATCCTCTGTCGCTGGGACGTACTCAGGCGTGTCCAACCTCTGAGGCCTCCTCTCGAGTGTCGCCTCTGGCACTGCCGTGGGCTGCTCCTCAATCTCCTCTGGTCCATACTCAGCTGTGCCTATCCTCAGGAGTCTGGCCTTGATGGCACCCTCCTCCTCAATCCCCATCTCTCTCTCAAGAGGTTCCTCTATCCTCTGCTCAGGTGAAAACAAACGCACCTCCTCCTGCATAGTATGCACCGCCTGAAGGAGCACGCCCATGGATTCCTCTACTGAGCCCTGAGCCGGCTCACTGCTACATGGTGGCAGCCCCTCCTCTACTGCCAAAGGTACGACTGGGCCCGCCCCTGCTACTGGCAGTGTCGCGAGCTCGGTAGGGGCTCTGAACTCAAACGCCTCTCTCTCCGCCTGTCTCTGTGCTCTCGCCTCCTCTGACTCCAGGATAACCCTCCCCATAGGTGGCTCCTGGCGAGGCTCTGTCGCAGATGGCTGTCCTGACAATCCCTGTCCCGACTGCCTCTGCTCTCCCTGCCGGCTGCTCTCTGGTCTGTCCACCTTTCCCTGGGTTTACTGCCTCAGGCTCTCAATGATAGCTGTCTGGCTGGCCACCAAAGCCCTAAGTTCCTGAATTTCCATCTCCATAGCCTCCAGACGTACTCCATGGCTGACTTCCTTCATTTTCTTCCCCGCCAGATCGCCCTCCAATAACAAGTGCCGGTCAAAAGTGGTCTTGGCCAGGAACTTGATTTTACGATCTAACCTCTCTTCCGCCTTCCTGGCCACTCCAAACCCGGCTCTGACTGGCGATGAAAGTTCCTCTCCTCTTTGCTCCTAGAAGTCTCTCCACATCTCAGGAATCTCCGG